TCCTGGTCCTGGTCCTGGTCCTGGTCCTGGTCCTGGTCCTGGTAATGGTTCGTCCTGGTCCTGGTCCTGGTCCTGTCCTGGTCCTGGTCCTGGTCCTGGTCCTGTTCCTGGTCCTGGTCCTGGTCCTGGTCCTGGTCCTGGTCCTGGTCCTGGTCCTGGTCCTGGTCCTGGTCCTGGTGCTGGTCCTGGTCCTGATCCTGGTCCTGGTCCTGGTCCTGGTCCTGGTCCTGGTCCTGGTCCTGGTCCTGGTCCTGGTCCTGTTCCTGGTCCTGGTCCTGGTCCTGGTCCTGGTCCTGGTCCTGGTCCTGCTCCTGCTCCCCTGATCTTGGCCCGACCCGCAGCCTCCCCCAGCGCGTTCCGTCCAGCCGCGTCCAGCCTCTCCCGCTGATGGGGGAGAAGCCCTGGCCGTGCAGACTAAACCCCTCTCGGGGCTTCGCGAGGGTGTCCCGTCCCGCTTGGCGGTCGGGTCCAGGGTCCGGGCCTACGCCGCGCGACCCGCCGCGACCCGGCTGCACGGCCTGACAGCTGACGGACGATTCATTTAAGAGTGTATAGTGGATTTTATTTCCCCTCCGTGTCCAGTTCCATTTCTTCATGCCACCGTGGTTCCAGCTGGGATTGTGTGCCAGTGCCAGGTGGGCGGTCCACGCCTGACACCTGCTGGCACTTCCTGCAGTTGCTACACCAGGTGGCAGGATTCGCCCACCGCGCTCCCGTTGTTCTGCTGTACCGCATAGCCTACCATATAGCCGCTCGGGTCTGAAGGCGCCATGATAACGACAGAAACGGCTGGCGAACGCACCCCCTCACGCACCTGCGCGTGGTGCGTCATGAAACCTCGTACCGGAAACTGTACGCTGCATGTGTGTAGTTATTGGACGCTGCCATCAGGCAAATAGTTTAATAATGTGATAAAAACGCATTTGGCCAGTGAACTCGCACGCGGCGCGGCGCCCTTGCAGGGCGTTGGAGTGGTAGGTAACGGAAAAGTAATTCCGTTGCACCCCTGCGTTCAGCACAGTTTATTACAACTTACACTTCAGTGTAACTAAAGGCGCACAGCGCACATCCCAGAAAATGTCGAAAATGTGTAGTTTGTTAACACTACACCGTACGAAGCCCTTTTCTTGAAGAGATTTTTCATTTTCATCAGAGAGCGCTAGGAACTTAAGGGTATAGTGGGACAGTTTTTTGGGGTCAATGTGGACCCTGAAGGACAAGTGTGAAGGCGCTTATGGTTTGCCCTACAGTGAAGTGTTGAAGACCCCCCTACCCGAAAATGATTTTGTTTGCGATATCTGACAGGTTTGTCCTTATTTGTTTTGTCGTTTGCAACGCGGAGGGTCGCATGAAAATTGCGTATACTTTTTAGGCGTCTTTATCGGCGGCTCACCTGATACTCCTCTAAAACGGGGACCTGAGTTAATTTCCAATTTTGTACACTCCTGCGTGGGCGACTGGCGACTGGCGAGCGTCGAGCGTCGCGGGTGGCAACTCTGCCCCACGACTAGACACCCTCTGGACGCCTCGACCGGCGCTGCCCCGGCCGCCCGCTCTCTCCACACGAGCACCACCCCGACTCCCGGATCCTAATCTCAAATAAGACTCACCGGCAATTTTTCACGGCCATCCCTTCCCGCCTGCCTCCCGTTCAGCGATGTCGGCCGCCGAATGTTTCCTTCCCCTGTGCTGTGCTGTGTGGTTCCACCCCCTTTTGCCCTCACCCTTGCGCAGATAGTGCGCGGAACAATTGGTCAGATTTCCATGGCCGTTTCTTGCGCCTGCCTGATTTCCGACGGTGTACCGGTGCTCCAGCAAACCCGCCTGCTCATTTGGTTGAGCCCCCGTCGCCAAGATGGCCTCCTCGCGGCCCCGGCGGCCCCACGGCGCCGGCGGGTCGCCCGAGTGGCAGAGTGGCACCCGACATAAATAACTTGCCAAAATAATCCGGTATCGTCGGACCGA